AAACTAATTTTCACTTTATATCGCTTATGGCTTCCTAATTGAAGAGAGAAAAACAATCTGCAAATTTGTTCTACTTGTGTACTTTTAATGAAAGCAATTAGGCGAGACATTCACAATGACGTCATAAAATGGCGTCAGATCTCCTTGAGAACAAAAGCAACTGCACGCTAAATACAAACTTACACATATAAGTACAGTTTTGTATACAGCTTTCCCATTTTATTTGCCGTTTCACTTTACATAGTTTCAGTTATCTGCGGTCAAACCCAGAAATAAACAATAAATTTTACTTAATAATCCCAAAGGGCAAAGGTAATAATGCTGGCAATTCGGATATGCCAATGAGAAATTGTAAAGAGTTTCCTTTCATTGAAAAGGTGAAAGTTCGCGACTTAATAATGACAGAGGAAAAAAATCGTATATTGAGGTTTCTAACATCGACAGTAAGAATGAAATTTTCCATCATTATTAAAATGTGTCGAGTGATCGCCCTTGAAGCTTCGACGACTAGAGGGTGTGCTATTGATTGGAAATGAAGTCCCCCACCATTCATGATGAGGCTATAAAATCTTATTAAAATAATCCAACCCCTCCGTACTGTAGATTGTATGAAAACATTAATCATGATTGATCTCCCTTTCTTCAAAATGAATTAAAATAAATCAAAATTTACTTGGTCTTCATTTACAGCATGCAAACCGAAGTAATGTACAAAATATAGAACTGGTTTTCAAATTTATTAAATTTACTGTTCAATACTTCTCTACTGAATAATTATTTAGAAATAAATTAGAAATGCTACAAATGTTGCGAAAGTTATGGAAAAACAATTTGAACCTGGTTGACACAAACACATTGAATCGGTTCTGGAGCAAGGATCTCGTGGATCAGCACCGAACCTGAGATACGAATATGCAATATCTATAATACCAGATCCACGAATCTATAATAGAAACTCCCACTCACATTCTATTACATCTCAATTTTCATTTGGTAATATTCATATAAAATACAAATTTTATTGTAAGCTAATTACGTTCAATAATGAATAGATAGCGGCTCGGATTGAGGAATCGGAGAACCGAGTTCGAATTCCAGTCGAATCTATTACATTCACTTACGTGCTAATACCCTTGGGAATGTTATGAATTCTTTTCTTCTACCCCAGATATTGGTAAATAGCACGACAGACGGGGTTCTACAGCCTTGGATGGCAACTGGCCTACAGCAGAAAGAAATGGCAACCTACTGCGGGGAAAAATCTGCCTAGTCAGTCATGTATCAAAAGATACATGATCGCCTTGAACGGAACCTAGTTGTTAATTAAGGAATGGCTGTATTAAAATTTAATAAAACATTTTCCCCTGTCAAAGGCTGCATTTATTTATTTAAAGATTTATTTTACGCGGAAATTCCATCTAATCTCATCAAAATACGGTCTGATCATGAACAAAATGTACTTGTAAAATATCAAATTAAAATCATTTTTGTATAAACATCTTTTTATATAATAAATGCGAATGTCAGCGTATCACACATTTTCAACTTTACTCTTAGAGACTATAGTCCAACATATACCATTTTGGAATCAGGCCGATTCCATGAACAAATTAAAACCTTCCGGGACTGATCCAGACCCGCAATCCGGGAAGTTTGGATTCTCAAGTTTTCATTACTGCTATTGTTTTGGCGATTTTTTTACGTGATATTTTGCGATGAGTTTTTTTGTACGATAATTTTTAGAACTTGGCAATAAATTTGGGAATGATCAAAAATTAATTGCGAATTTCCGCGAAAGTCACATTGTTATAGAGTAGTTTCACAGTGGAGGCTTGTATTTCACTAAGTCGCTCCTAAAAAGGTTCGACGTACGAAACGTTAGGAGCTTGATATAATAGTTAATGACGCAGCAATCTAGTTGTGGTGGCTGATACTTTAATGTCCGACATCAACTGACTCGACCTACTCACTGAGCTCACTGGCGACTGCAACTACTCCAACTTAATATAGGTGGGTGAGTCTATTAACAATAGAATAGGTATGTTCCAGTATAACACATATACAATAAAAACAATTGTTTGTACGGAAAGTAAGGACCTATGTACATAGAACTGTGTTTAAGTTAAATGACGAAGAATTATCGTTGAACTTTTAAAAAATAAGCTTAAATATTAATGTAATACGTAAATGCAGCGATCAATTTTTAGTTCTTCTGTTGTTTATTGTTGCCTATCGCATCTATTCCTCCCTACCCATTGGGATAAATATCAGGAGCCCTCCACATGAGCTAGCTTAAATGCCACCAGATAGGGCGGCTTCTAAGATAGTTTAGAAGTGAATTAGAAAGATTACGAATCATGTAAAAAATGTGACATTAAATCTATCTGTGACCAAGTTGTCACAAGCCTATTACACGCGTATAATTCCTGAACTAGTGGTCATGTACAACTTCTCCTTTTATGGGCAAGTCGGTAGAACTGAAGACGACTTTTAAGTGAGGAACGGTTGTACTGATTAATGGTGAAAGATTAAGGTCATAGACAAAGAAAGGATTAACAAATTGGTACGATCTACGACCCTCTGGTTTATAATCAAGAACCTTTACTGGCAGCAAACCGCATACACACGCATAGAGTTCAACAGACATACAAAAATAGGAAGTGGGTGTAAGACAAGGATGTGGCTTCTCACCGGACTTAGCTTATATTGCGATGCTATTCTGTGACAACTAGAAGTCCTACCAGGATTTACTATTAGCGAAGGCGTATTAGGATTAATTAGAAATGTTACGAATCATGTAAAAAAAAATAAAAAAAAAAAAAAAAAGTAATGGATTAAATCTGTAACCAGGTTGTCACAAACCTATTACACGCGTATAATGCCTGAAATAGCGGTCCTGTACAACTTCTCCTTTTATGGGCAAGTCGGTAGAACTGAATACGACTTTTAAGTGGTTTTAAACAACGTCCATGAAAGACGGGGACCTTGTAGTGACAAAATAAGTAAAAAGATCAATATTTCAAAAAGAGAAAGCTAAAAGTTGACAAATCATTTTGATTTGCCATAAAAAATAAAGAAAAGAATTTCAAATGAGTCGTTTCTGGAACCAATCAAAATCAAGAACAGTTTGGAATTGAATTCTATTGTCTTTAAAAAAAAAATATATATATATATATATTAAGTGATAATGATCCGGACTAGACGCTAAAAAGAATTTCATCCCCTATGCTTTACCCTCAAACTATGGACACACCTATAAAAATCGCAGAGAGAGACTCGAAATAATTACTGCTACATACCTACATTCATATTAACAAAGACTCCCCTCTCTCATATATATATATATATATATATATATATGTAGTGCATCCTCGGTTCTCTAACGTCACATGTCAAACAAATCGGTTTTCGAGATGAAAATGCCTCGGTTCTCGAACAACATTGCTTGAACCGAGTTAACCTGAACGGAATAATTCCCGAGTCAACCGCCGTCTTGTATACATTCGGGTGTTGTGTTGTGTTTTTTTTTTTCTTTTTCAGTTTTATTGTACTGTCACGTTTTTTCTCTACATTGATTTCAATTGAAAAAAAAATAGTTCCGGTTTACGACCATTTCGGGTTACGAACGGCCTTCAGGAACGAATTAAATTCGTAAACCGAGGTTCCCATATATATATATATATATATATATATATATATAAAGGACTTAAAGACTTTCAACACGAGAACTTTCTGATGGGAACTTATGAGCATTTTGAATATTATTGTATATTTTATTTTGAAAGATATAAATTTTTACCAATATTCATCATTGTAATTATCTTTAAAAAGGCCATAAATTGGTGTATATATTTGGATTAAGGACGTTATCTAAAGATAACCGCAAGTAAACTCTTACTTTGATGACTTACACACCACCACACTAACAGACCACTACATTAGTTTCCCATCCCCGTACTGGTAAACTCCGACATCCTGACGAATATATAGAAGCATAAAAATACAATGTCCGACAGTGAAATTGAACCGGCAGCTTCTGACCAACCCCATGACCTCAAGGTGTGAAATTCATGTTCGAGCCTTGCAAGACCCTATTTCTTGATTTAAGATTGTACTTTGTTTACTCAAATAGTCGAGAGTGTATCGACCCAGAACGTTTATCGGAAAAGCAACAATAGTAGTAGTAGTAAACCTCGTAATACAATAAAGTGTGTACACATTTTCATCGGGTGGTGAGAACGAACAGAAATTTACTGAAACACACGTGGTGTACACAAACATGAAAGAAATATTAATAAAAGACAGACAGACGAACGTACTGAAAGGTTCTGTCATTTCGTACCATCCCCGCCCCGACGCGATTCGATCGAGGGCGAAGTAGAATTCTAAATGGCTCATTTCAAAACTAATACAGGCTGTAATATCTTTCACCGGCCGAGCAAGGGAATTTTTAAAAGCGTGCGACAAGTCAAGCAATTGATATTGAAAATCCAGCGAAAACGAAATCTCATCGCCGCTGAAAAATCACGCGTGTGTGCGTCCGGATCGATCAAGCTATAGCACATATTCCATCTCATGATGACGCCATTTTCAAACACCTCCCCATCCCCGACCAACCAACCAACACCACAAGACTATCCCAACACTTCACCCACAACCGTCATCACCTACCCACGTTTGTCCTGCCGATTACCTCCACCAGCACCAGTACCAACACCTAGAGGCAAGTTCCTCGGCCTAAAACTCACTTTTACCAGCCACTTACGATAGCCTGATCACAACCGGCAGGTCGACATTGAAAAAGCCATATTAGCTTTGGGGGGGGGTTAGAATGGGGGGTGAAATGGAGCATTCAGGTCAAAAGCGGTACCATTTACTTTTTCTCTTTCTCGCACATAAGCAGTTCTCACGTCCATTTCATACTTGATTGGTCAATACTCAGTCGGGATGGGCTTGTATGGATACAGTGAAGTTTCCTTTAACTGGATTTCAGGTGCACATCAGTAAGTTTCCTTGGAGAAAATATCTTTTCCGTGAAAATGGTGGGGATAGGTAGAAAGGAAAAGGAAGGAGAGAGAGAGAGATTGTGAATGGTGAAAAGAAGAAATAGATAAACAGAGTGAGAAATAGGTAGGGAGAGGGGAACTGAGAGAAATAGAAAAATACTGAAAAATAAAGAAAGGAAGGGAGAGAATATAAAAAAAAGAGATTATATGCGGAGAGAGATTGAATGGAGATGAGATGGAGAAAAATAGAAAATAGCAAAAAAATAAATAAATAAGTAAGTAAAGTAATAAATGAAGAGAGAAAAAAATGAGAGAGAGAGAGAGAGAGAGTGAATGGAGATGAAATGAAGGAACAGAGAAATAGAGTGAGAGATGGAAAGAACTAGAACAAGAGAGAGAGAGAGAGAGAGAGAGAGAGAGAGAGAGAGAGAATGAATGTCAGAAAGACGAGGGATGGATAGAGAGTGTGAACGGAGATTAAATAAAAGAAAGTAGGAAAAACAGATAGGGAGAGAGAAACAAAACACGAGAAAGAGAGAGAGAGAGAGAAAAAGAAAAAAAAGAAAGAAAAAGGAAGAGGAGGGAGAAAAGAAAGAAAAAAGTAAAAGAAAAGTGAGAAGGAAAGTAAGAAAAGGAGAGAGGAAAAAATAAAATGTAAAGAGAGAAAAAAACAGCGAGAGATGAAGGAGAGAAATAGAGGTAGGAGGAGGAGAAAGAAATCCGCTATAAGAAAAACTGAGAAAGGAGCGACAGAAAAAAGTAAAATTAGAATAAAAGAGAGAGAAGGAAAGAGTAGAGAGAGAGAGGAAGGGGATGAGTAATTAAGAAACAGTGAAAGAAAGTGGGAGGGAAAGAATGAGATAGAAAAAGAGTGAAAGAAAGAAACAAAGCGACCGAGAGGAGAAAATGAAAATGGAGAAAAAAAAAAAAAAAGCAAAGAGAGAAAGAAAGAAAAAGCAAAGAGAGAAAGTGAGAGACAGAGAGAAGAAGAAGACGAGGACGAGACAGAAATAGAAAATAGAGGAAGAAAGAGAGCGTTGTGGGCCAGATAAAGATTTCAGTAATACGAAATATCTAAAGTGGCATTTGATGAACAGCCGCGGGTCGGAGACTCGACTGGCGCAAGGTGTTAGATGGGGAAGAGAAGTATACATTAGTGCGCATGAGGATTGAAAATTGTCAAGGGTGACTATGCGAGTAACAGCTCTATGCTTTGGTATGTAAGTTATTAGTTAGGTCCTAAATTTCCAAAGAAAAATCATGTTTTCAGTTTCTTCTTTGCAAAATCCAGCGATGCGAACTTTCATATGCCTAAAATGTATGTGCGGGTGTCGCATCGTTAATAGGAACAGAAAGTGGATTTGGCGGGCAGAGTTCAAGTTCCGGCACAGACAGTTGTGTTTACTTCGAAACAGACTTGTGAAAAGCATTAAGTCAATTCGTTTCCACCTCCGACTACGATAGAATAAATTGTAGCGTAGTCTACCTAGGGTGATAACCAATGAAAAAGAAAGAAAACTGAATCCAAAACCGCAGAAAAAAGAACAGGAAGTCAATCCTCTTCCCCAAGATAATCATACACGGATATGAAAGAAAAGGAAGATGTGGAGAACCATGAACGTACGTAACATTAAAATTAAAATAAAATCAGTTACGTTGAGGAAACTGAGTTTATTCAAATAGATATTGCCTAACTCCTTTCTCTGTCATAACGGCAAGTTTGGCGATACAAATAAACCTAAGGGAAGAGTGGTATCACGCCTTTCTCAAGTGCACGAGGGGAAAGCGAGTATGATTGTCAGCGGCTTCCGTTTTCAACGTCGACCGCCAATACTTCTACCCGCAAAACCTCTATCTCACGTACACACATGCTTCGTTTTACACGGGTGATTTCAGGCACAAACCCGTTCATTAAATGAGAACACATTCCATAAATTCAAACACACACATCATATATATATATATATATATGCACACACACACACACACGTATAAAGGGATTTCAACGCATTCAAGTTAATTTTAATGAAGTACACAAGATTACATGCACGCATACGCGTCCACTTTCCAGGTACACACGCTTACAGACTTAAATACAAATGATGTTTCTTCAAGTATCTACACTAAAATAAGATACAACACACACACATTATATATAAGTAATTATACTCGTCTGGAAAAATCATAGGTGTTTTGGTTTTAAATGAACAAACCAATGCCCAAGGAAAAATAAGGGATAAAAAAGAAAGAACTAAGAACATGTAATTGAGGCGAAACAATTGTCCTGAATCCAAGCTCAGAGTTCAAAGAAAAAAAACCTCCAACACGAGTAAAGCAAAAGTAACTAAATAAAGTACTCAATACACTAAGTAGAGCAAATCTAACTATGAACCTAAAAAGCCAGGTAAACCTACCTAGGTAGGTTTGCCTGGTTCTTTAGCTATGTATATATATGTGTGTGTGTGTAAATTACGTAACAACCTGAGCATTCGAGAGGACGAATAAAGAAAATATGCTATCCGGCAGGGCTGAATCTGAATCTCTCTCTCTCATATATATATAAGATGGCAGCATTTCAGATTTTTTTTTTAAATGTTCATGTCAATTCATTTCAATAAAGCAACATATATAAAACGAAATATATATATATATATATATATATTTTGGTTATGTTGTGTTGAACTATATGTGGCGCGAATTGCACTAAATTTTGACAAATGACAACTCAGTCTATGAGAGTCTGTGGTGCATGTGCGGTCAGTATAAGAGGCTGTTTTGTTACTTGTTAAAATTTAGTGCTATTCGCGCGCATAGATCAACATATAACAGCCAATGTAATAATATAGTGTAACCCGGATATAAGAGAAACCCGGATATAAGAGAGATTTTCTCTGGTCCCAAATTAAAGCCTGTGTTAATGTATATGAAATAGACCAAACCCGGATACAAGAGACTTCTTCTCCGGCCCCGACAACTCTCTTATATCCGGGTTACACTGTATAAGGCAAAAAAACATCCAATATTTAGAAATAATTCAGCACCTCATATATATATGTTTAAAATATGAATATTAAGAACTCTCAGGCGACACAAGTTTCGCTGTAAAGTTCGCCAGGCGCTATCAGTCAATATTTGTTTATTTTCCCCGGAGTCTGCATACTGCACAGATATTTGAACAGACGGGTATTAGTGTAATAATGCACCCGCACACCATAATAAAGGTATAAATACCCATAAGTAGGTACAAAAGTTTTCCAAGTTTCGTACGTGCATGCAGGTTCATACCGGCGTAAAAAGTATTTGCATATGTGCCTCGACTTTGCTAAATAATTAAAAAAAAAAAAAAAAAAAAAAAAAAAAAATCATGGCAACCAGAAAAATTCCGTAAAGAACAAAGAAAAGAGTACTGACCCGTTATGCAAAATCAGTTCTATATGGCAATGAATGATGTACAATCACTTTACAGATTAAGAAAAAGACTTGAATCGACAGAAATCTGGTTCTACAGAAGGATGCTGAGAATATCATGAACTGCAGATGTGAGCAAAGAAATAGAATGGAAACAAAAAAGATACTTATACATAACATCATGAACAGACAATTGAAATCACTTAGCCCCATAATGAGGAAAGAGGGCTTGGAAAATTTGATACTCACAAGACAGATTGACGGTAAGGGAGACAGAGGAAAACAACGCATAACCTACCTAGCGAGCTTGAGTAAATGGGTGGCGGAACACGGTTTAGACGAGATAACAAAAAGACAATATTTATTACGAGATACAAAAGACAGGAAATTGTGGAGAGCCATGTCCGCCTACGTCCTGAACGAACTTTACGCACAAAGAAGCTGCAATATCTCCCGGTTGTCAAACAAGAAATCGTTATATATTATATATATATATATATATATATATATATATATATATACACTGTAAAAGAACGAAGAGTAAGATTTCAGCGTTCAAGACATTAATTTAAAACATGGCTCAACACAAAGAAGGGCCGTAAATAACCATGCAAGTAGCAACGTGATTCCCCACCTGATGAAACGTTAAAAAAGACTTTTTTTTAACGTTGAAACAAGATGTACAGCCTTGGAGTGGGTATGTGCATGTTCTAATCTAACTACATATATGTGTGCGTGTGTGTGTGTGTGTGTGTGTGTGTGAGAGTGAGTGAGTGAGTGAGAATAAAATATGAGACCACTACATAGAGATGCAAAATTCCCCCCTGTCTATGTATTTCAAAACAAAGAAGATTGCTAGAGCTCAAAAATGAACGTAGGCCTTATTGACCGAACCAGTATCCAATCCTCTTTGAAGCCAAGGTATCAAAATGTAGATTTTCTTACTAATTGGGCTCCCTGCATGATTGGCGTGGGTAGGGGGCAATACCGGATCCTTTTTGACATCTCAATGTCAAAGGTGATGATCGTGGTTACTTGATTATGTCTGTCTCATCTGCAAGGGGAAAATTGGGGGTGATTTTCCTCATGGCCGAAACGATCGAGTTATTTCATATCCAAGCCGGATAGAACCCAGATATAATATCAAGAGAGTCTGGAACGCTGATTTTATAGGCAACGATCTCATCTTTAAGTGGACGACGGGTATAAAGGGATCTTAACATCTAGCCCATTTAGTCTTGCATGGTACCATGCTAAGTTTAGTAATCACTGACAGATAATACTGGGTTGTACGACCCCAGCAGTTATGAATTCTTGATTTGGCTGCAAAAGGAGGGGAGTCAGGACCCTTATATAACGATAGTTCAATGAAATGAGTATTTTTAATTCTCCCTAACCCTTAATCTTGATTTCTTTCATATGTTATCACTGCTTGCTTTTCCAACAGCCTGCATTCTACGCCACTCCAGTGATCACGCATATGTTTGTGTGTACGCCTCGGCACATTCACTCCATGCTCGTCTTCGGGTGGTGACTGATGTGTTAATATTTCTAGAGACACGAACATGCCTTTATATAATGACTCAGCTTAACCGAGTCTGCCATAAGGATAGAATAACGAGCGCTTTTTCCACATAACATTAGCGAGTGGTCCAGCGATACTAACTAGTTAACCATCACTCCGCATCCATATAGAATTTTCTAAAATAAGCTTAGAATGGTTCAAGGCTAAATATAGCAAAGCACTCCATGTATTTGCTATAATTTGCTTTCTTTTGTCACGAATCAGTAAAGAGAAAACCAGTGAATTAAGGCCCAAACTAGAAATAATTGTAAATACGCATTTAATAGAAATAACCTGTTGACATATATAGGGTGTATCAAAAATACTTTTATAAACTTTTGGGACGGGTTCCTTACACCCAAACAAGGACCACTTCACTTGTGCTGATACCTGGATCGTCTCCGACAGCTTGGAGAATGTGTTCTTCGTGGTCAGGCGTACGACTGGATCTCGGTCCATAGTTTGTGGTGCACGGATACTGCGTCAGCAACACGATGATAAACAGTAGGTCGGATGACTCGGCTGCCTTCGGCCTGGAAATGCAATCTGATAGAGCCGTGTCCATGACCATTCGCGCGTTCGTATGTAAAGATCATATCTGCCTTCGCACGATATGAATATCTGCCATTATTAAATGGGACAGACTAGCCACAAATGTACACAAATGACAAATGTAACCTAGTCTACATGGCAACACAGCGGCATCTACCGTAAACTTATTTTAAATTTATTAACTCAAAAACTAATGATTTTCGGACATATGTTCATATGGACATTTGTTCTTGTTTTGGTGTGAGAAACCCGCCACCAATGTGTGTAAAAGTATTTTTGATACACACACACACACATATATATATATATATATATACACACACACGAGGATTAAATTTAATGGGTTGTTTTAATCCGTCATTTTTTTTTAATCATTTGACTTTAAGCAAGGTAATAAAGCCACTAAGACGCAAGTGGTTACTGTCAGAGAATACGAAAAAAAATCTGTTAAGGATATAGAACAATAAAAGGACAAGAATTAAGAAGACAAGATAACTACTTACGTTGTATTTAAATTTTTGATGATCAAAGTTGACTGGGAAGGAAGAAGCCGGTTACATCTAGCAATTTCAACTGTAATATAATGAGACCTTGCCGCCAATCTAGTCCTGCGCTTAAATTCGTAAAGTC